TAACTGCTGGTCCCCCCCCCCCCCAATGAACTTTTAAAATTCTCAAGAATTTATATTGGGTCATTAGAAAAGCCATGATGTATTTTCGCATAGAAAAATAGAACAAATACATTATGACTTTTCTGACAATGCAATAATTTTGTATTTAAAACAGAGACCCGCTCAACTGGGTCTTGTCAAACCACGATTCCTTTCCCTTAGGCTCCCAGTTTGTCAAGATCTTTGGTGCTTGCCTGGTATGTTTCAAGGTGACCTGGGATCTCAACCTGCAGTTAGCCATGTGGCATCTAGGATTCAGTTCAGTAATCTACCACCTGCACCACTGAAGCTGGGCCTATAAGTATTTTTAAATGACTGCTCTAGCTCATTGTATTACAGTAGAGGTAAAAGTAGCTTTTCTCCACTCTTCTAGTTTCTTTGGCTAGTCTAAAAATTAAACTGACATAAAGCAGGTCACAGGAAGAGTCCCACAAAATGCAAGATAGTGACCCAGCTGTAGTGGTACAGTGATACTGCAACACTGCGGTGCTGGAAGCCATGTGGAAGAGTGGGCTTTGGTTCCCCTGTGAACCAGTGGGCTTGCTGGAGAGAGTCAGAGATGGTGAGAGAAAGTGAGAAATCACCTCCCTGGGGTGGGGGGATGTGGGCACACTATAACCCCTTCCCCTTCTCCCCCATTCCTCTCCCGGGATTTTGGACATACATGCACGCATGCCTAATGTGATTTAAGTTGCCAGGCTGGGACTCAAACCACAGTTGGCCATGTGGGAATCCAGTACCTTAACCACCATGCCACCTGCTGGCCCTGGTGACTGTTTCTCAATGATCTTAGTAATTGGATCTATATTTCTCAATATTTCATATTCTCGTATTTCAATTTCTTTCTTTTTTTTTTTTCCCCCTAGGGCACTTGGGCTTGCCAGAGAGACAGAAAGTAAGGAAACCCCCCTCCCCCCAGGAGAATGGTCATGATACAGTCCATTCTCTCCGTTCTCCTCTTGGGATTGGGATTTTGGGCACTTACGTGCATGTGCCCAGTGTGAGGTTTAAGCCACCAGGTCCAGGACTCGAACTGCAGTCAAATACTTGGGACTCCAGCGATGTAACCATTTTGCCATTTGCTGGTTCTCTCATGTTTATTTTTCTTTTTTTTTTTTTTTTTGGAGAGGTTTTTGCTATAACGTACATGCACTGGCCAGAAAGAGAGACAGAAAATGAGAAATCATTCCCCTAGCAGGGATGGCCACTCTACAATCCCTTTTCCTCCATTCTCCTCTCAGGGTCTTGAGCACGCACGTACACACACACACACACACACACACGCCTGGTGTGAGTTTAAGCCACCGGGTCCAGGACTTGAATCACAGTTGACTACATGGGAGGCCATTATGCCAACTGCTAACACCCCCTCATATTTCTTTATATGTCAGATTTGTTAAAAATCAGTGGGAGGGACTGATGGATGGCATGGAGATCCATCTAGGCAGTTGGATCCTACATGGCTGACTGCACAGTCCGAGTCCAGCTTGAAATCAGGCATGTACATACGTGTGAAAAACCAGAAAGAATGAAGGAGAAAGAATTATGGTGTGGTCCACCTCCATGCTTTCTCACTTTTCATACCCTCTTCTCTCTCTCTCTTCCTCTCTCCCCCTTTATCTTTGGAGAGACCATGTATTCTGTAGCAAAATAATACGACATAAAATACAATAAGGTTGTCTCTCATATATAGCCTTTTAAAAAAACAAAAATCAATAGGCAGCAGGTTGGACTCGTAGCCTAGTGGTTAACGGAGCTGAATCCCATATGGCCGAATGTGTGGTTCAAGTCCTGGACCCCAATGGCTTGAAAAACATGCAGGATGTGTGTGCATATCTGCCTCAGATCCTGATAGGATGGAGAAATGGAGGAGAAGGGATTGGTGTGATCATACTCCTTTGGGAGTGTTTTTCCCTCTCCCTTTGTCTCTCTCTGGGCAACACATATGCTTTCTGGCAGTTGGGAAAAACAAAATAACGGGGGGCTATTGTTTTGTGATCTAGACCCCAATAGACCAGACCAGATTGGAGTCATTTGTGCTAAAACGCTACATCATCAAACTGAAACTTCGAGAAATCTGCTAGATCCTCAAGTAGGTCAATTTTTTTCTGAAATAGAGTATTTCAGTCTGAGTCAGTGACACAGAAAAAAAAAATGTACATCTCATGGCTCTTAAGGGACATGCACATGAAATACTGAAGTGCTAGCTAGGATCATTAGATTGTTTTGTAAACAGCCTGTTGCCCAAATATAGTCTTTTATCTTTCAAACTCATTATCTCTATACTTGTTTAACCATGTAGTCAACTGCTCCCTAGTTATATTATTAGAATTTAATCAGTCGCTACTGTATAAGACTCTTTGCTACTCCTGCCTCCCATTTGGACTTTTACTTTTAAAATTATCCTGAAATCCATGAACTTTAAGCATGTATTAGTCAGGGAAAGTTGGATATTGTAATTCTTAGGCAACTTTCCTCATTCTGGACCAAATAAACTCTTTTGCTTTACTTTCTTTGCCTCAACATTTACCGTGGGTTTATTCCCTACCTTCCTATACACTTTTTTTTTTTTTGAGAGATTTTTTGCTATAGGGCATGTGCACTTGCTGGAGAGACAGAGAGATAGAAAGTGAGAAATCACCCCCTGGGAGGAGGGATGGCCATGCCGCAACCCCTCATCCATTCTCTTCTTGGGATTTTGGGCACACACACACAAACACACACACACACGTGCCCGGTGTGAGTTTTAAGCTACTGGGTCTGGGATGTGTACCACGGTTATCTACCTGGGAGTCCAGCAACATAACCATTATGCCACCTACTAGCCCTGTACAATTTTAAATATATAGTCAAATCTGTGAGTCTTCATTAATATTATTTTTAAAAATTATTTAGCTTAACTCATTATTATTACTTCTTAATTTGACCAAAGAAATAGAGAGGGAAAGTGAGAAAGCAAGCCACCTGGTCCAGGACTCTAACTGCAGTCGACCATGTGGGAGTCCGGTGCCTTTAACCATCATGCCATCTGCCAGCCCCCAATTATTAATACTGATATAGTATTCCTTTCCATGAGACAGGGTGGTGGAGGCACTTCCATCAGGGTCTGCACACTGTGATCTACTCCCATTCTCAGCCAGCCTGGATTGCAGGTGTGTGCACATCTGCCCAGCATGCTCAGGGAGGCCTTGGGACATGAACCCCAGACTTCCCTGTGTGGGTTAAGTTGTGCTGAAGTGCTGTCATCTGACCCTCTTTATTGTTTGATCCTGCTCATGTGCATGTACCTAGTGTCCAAGCCACTGGGGCCAAGGCTGGGGCTTGAAACTTGGTCGGCCATGTGGTATCTGGCTTCCTCTGCACAACGTTTAACCTCTGTGCTATGGAGCTATCCCTCTAGTTTTAGAGAAAGATCAATGTTTGCCTTTATTTTCCCCTTTAATATATTTGTGTACATACATGCATATACACGTATATATTTTTTCTTTTTTTTTTGTTTAGAAAGATTTTGGACCAGCAGTTATATTAATGTCTGTGTTGCTGGACTCCCATGTAGTCAACCACGGTTCGAGTCCTGGACCCGGCGGCTTACACTCACACCGGGTGCGTGTGCCTGCATGCCCAGGATTCTGAGAGGAGAATGGAGGAAAAGGGATTGCGGCGTGGCCATCCCCCCTGGGGGGTGATGTCTTGCTTTCTATCTCTCTCTCTGTCTCTGTCTTTCTGGTGAGCGCATGCGCCCTATAGTAAAAACCTCTCCATAAAAATAAAAAAAAAAAAGAAAGATTTGCCGGAAAGATACAGGAGAGAGGAAGTGAAGAATCACCCCCTCAGGGGGTATGTTAATGCCACAGTCCCTTCTTCTCCATTATCCTCTTGGGATTTTTGGCATACACGCACACACATGTGCTCAGCATGATTTTTAAATCGCTGGGTTTGGGACCTGAACCATGGTCAACTACATGCAGCGATGTAACCATTACACAATCTGCTGGTACCCATAGCGTAATATTTTAAGGTTTGCTTTTTATGTACTTAACATTTGCATTTACCTGGGATTTATTTTATTTATTTATTTATTTATTTATTTATTTGGAGAGGTTTTCGCTATAGGGCGCGTGCGCTCGCCAGACAGCCAGAGAGAGACATAGAGACAGAAAGCGAGAAATCACCCCCCAGGGGGGATGGTCACGCCGCAGTCCCTTCTCCTCCATTCTCCTCTCGGGATCTTAGGCACGCACGCACACGCGCCTGGCGTGAGATTTAAGCCACCGGGTCCGGGACGCGAACCGCGGTCGACTACGTGGGAGTCCAGCGACATAGCCATTAAGCTAACTGCTGGTTCCCAGAATTTATTTTTTGAACATGTTATTAACTATGTCTTGAATGTCATGATGAATTTCTGAATTATTACCTAAGGGATAAACTAGATGATCTGAAATTTCAGAGACAATTTAGGGAGAATGGAGAATATGTATGTGTTATATTCTCCATTACATTTGTACGGCATTCCACGTTACAAGTCTTGAACTGTGTTGTTCTATTAAATGTTACTAAAGGCAGCAGTTATTTATGTTGACTCTTTAAAAATCTTTTAAAATACACCGTTTACTTTTTTATAGGGTTGATATGGTGACCAACCGGTTTCGGAAGGATATGATGAAAAATGCCAGTGAAGTTAAACTCCCAAAAGACAAGCTTCAGAAGAGACTTAAAGAAGAGTAAGTGTCCCATTTCATGTGATTTGCCAGGAGGTATATGTAACCAGTAAATCATTTCTGTTTGCTAAATCTTTTGTTTTAATTGCTTTTTTGGGTAGTCACATTTCCATTTTGAAATAGTAAGAGCATTGCTGTTGTAAGCAATGAGTTCACTTTGGTATGTATTTTGTAAGCACAGAGAAAATCTGTGAAAGAATTAGTACCTTCCCATCCCTATATAATCAGTGATAATTCATCTGTTTATTTGCTTATGGTAAGCTCTTTCACAATTTTTTTTTCAATTTTTGGTTAAGAGAATTATTTTAACTTTATTTATTTATTTTAGTTTGACCAGAGAGGGACATAGTGAGAGACAGAGAGAAAGTGAGAAAGGAAGCTCCTGGGTCTGGGACTTGAACCACAGTCGACCATGTGGGAGTCCAGCACTCTTAACTACCATGCCACCTGCCGGCCCCTCACAATTTCTTTTTAAAGAATTATTTTATTTATCTTTATTTATTTCAATTTGACCAGAAAGGGAGAAGAAAAGGGGAGAGGGGAGAGAAACAGAGAGAGAGAGAGAGATGAAAAGTGAGAAAGCATGCCGCCAGGTCTGGGATTTGAACTGTAGTCGGCCATCTGGGAGTCCAGTTCCCTAAACCACCATGCCACCTGCCAGCCCCTTTCACAAATTTTTTTTTTTTTTTTGAGAGGTTTTCGTTATAGGGCACGTGCGTTCGCCAGAAAGACAGAGACAGAGAGATAGAAAGCAAGAAATCAACCCCCAGGGGGATGGCCATGCTGCAATCCCTTCTCCTCCATTCTCCTCTCAGGATCTTGGGCACGCAGGCACACGTGCCTGGCGTGAGTTTAAGCTGCCGGTTCCGGGACTCGAACCATGGTTGGCTACATGGGAGTTCAGCGACATAGCCATTATACTAATTGCTGGTCCCACAAATTTTTAATATAAAAATTTCTAAACTTTAAGCATCTGACACCTAGATACATTTTTTTTTTTAAACATTTCACCATATTTGCTTTATATATTTGTAGTGTAGGTGTGTTTTCCCAATCTGTTTGAGAGTAAGGTACATGTAATGTAACACTAAGTTCCTTAAGGTACATTGCCTAAGATCAAGGACATCTTTCATATTCACAGTGCCTAAGAAAATTAACAGCTAATGGTCAGCATATATTAATTTCTCCAGTTGTCATAAGCTCAAACATTGTATTAGGATTTTATGTCTTTTTTTTGGAGAGGTTTTTGCTATAGGGTGCATGTACTCACCAGAAAAAGAGACAGAAAGTGAGAAATCACTCCCCAGGAAGGATGGCCATGCCACAATCCCTTCTCTATTCTCTCGGGATCTTGGGCGTGCACGCACACGCACCCGGTGTTGAGTTTATGCCACTGGGTCCAGGACTCGAACTGTGGGCAACTACATGGGAGTCCAGCGACATAGCCATTACACCAACAGCTTGTCCCATATTATTACTGATTTTTAATTTGACCAGAGAAAGAGGGAAAGTGAAAAAGAAAGTCACCAGGTCTGGGACTTGAATTGTGGTCAACCATGTGGGAATCCAGCGCCGAACCACCACACCACCTGCCAGCCCAAAATACATTCTGAAATTTCTATTTCTTTTTGTTGTTGAGGTGAAATTTATACAGCACTATTTTAAAATGTTTATAATTTAGTGGTATTCACCTTCTCTATCTAGTTTGAAAGCATTTTTATTACCCCATAAGAAAGCCTTGTATCCATTAATCAGTCACTCCCCTTTCGCTCCTCTTTCACTTTGTGTTTACCTTGTCTGTCTCCTGTATTCCCATGAAGTTGGGTTTAAAGGGTTGAATGTGTTCAGACTATTTGTGTCAGAAATATATTAAGATGATGTGTATTTAATTCATCACTTCTGGGAAGCCACAGTGTCGGGTTCCCACCTGTTAAGTTGTTATACTGAGTGGGATCACTAGGCGTTGTGTTCCTCCAGATATCTCCACTTTAAAGGTCTGCTGTGCAATTAGTAAATCTATATGTGGTTCTTGTGTGCGTGCGAATAACCTGTTCTCCGAAGACACTGTAACTTAGTGGTTTTAAGCATTCACTGATTATGACGTAACTATTACATTTCAGGTTGCAAAACTGTTTTTTCTGGTTCTCATTGTTGATGTCCTCATATGCAGGTGATCACAGATGCCTGTTGACTATACAGAGTTGGTTTTTACAAATTTACTGAACAAAAGAAAGAACCATCTCGCAAGACCACCATTTTGTCAGTCTCAGTGTCTGTGGAGGTTATGAGGGAAGGGCATGTATGAGTTTTGGGCCTGACGTTAGTCACAGAATAGACTTGGGTGGGTGTTACTGTTGTGGTCTTACTGATCTAGTTTGCAGCCTGGTTCCTAGTTTCCTGGCCTCACAAAGAAGTCTCAGGCTCACTTTGTCCTTGGTGTGGTCACGCTGTAGTCCTTTCAATGTTTCTCCATCTTGTCAAGGTTTTGGTCATGTATCCACATACACTCAGCATTTTTTCAAGCCACTGTGGCTGGGATTCAGATGAGTGGTCCAGGCCTCCGAGTTGGACTCTTCATGTACTAATTCTGTCCCAACTGTCATTTGTTCCTTTTCTTCTGGTTTTATGGTTCATGTTTTCCTACTGCTTTGCATGTCTAGTAATTTTGACTGAATTCTGGGAAATGTGAATGTTAAGTTTTTGAGCTTCTGGGGTTTTTTTTTTTTCTTTTTAGTTTTTGTCCTGGCAGGCAGTTTATTGGTTTGCAGATCAATTTACAACTTTATACACTTGTTTATAAGCTTTGTTAGAGGAGGTCTAGATTATTATTTACATTAGATTGGTTTGAACCCCACCACTAAGATATGATCTTTCTGGGATCTCTACTGAATGTCTCAAGTGGTCAATAGGACCTTCCCTCTTACTGGTTGGAACTTGAATGTCTGAGCTATGGTATTGTGTAGCTTACAGCTCTGAAGTGGTTCTCTGCTTAGTAGCTCTCTCCTGGAGTCTCATCCTATGAGTGCAGCTTAGTATCCAGGGTTGCCATTGAACTCTTCAGCAGGTTTCTGGTGCTTTTTCTCCCTGAGAATTACTCTGCCCTTTAAATTTAAACTGTATCAGCCTCTTTCAGGTTTAATCTTCTGGGTTTGCGCCAGGGCCTTCCAAATGCCTGCAGAGGAAAATTGCTGGTGGTAGTAGGGCTCACCCTCTTTTATTCGCCTTCTCTCAGGGATGACTGTCTGTTGTCCAGTTTCTGGAAACAGTTGTTTCATGCATCTTGTCTGGTTTTCTAGTTGTTTTTGTCTAGTGGACCTAGTTTGGTGGGCTAGTTTGTATTTCTGCATTAAAAAGTTAGAAGGACACTCTGCCTAGTGGTGAAGTTTTCTGTATTCTTACCAGTCTGGTCATTTTCTTTCTTGGTTTATATAACCACAGAGAGACTTCGGTACTAACTCCTGACACCTGGGATGTGTTGATACGAGCAAATCAGATAACCATCTGAGTATATGTGGTTAACAACAAATGTGTATCCAGGTGTCCTGTTCCCAGAACCTGCTCAGGTGGGCAGAGATTCATGAAAGTTTCCAACATAAGCAGTTTGGAACTATCCTGTGTAAATAGAAATAGTACAATAAGTTCTGTTTTTAAAGATGGTAGCAACTTCGAAAGAGAATCCATACATACTCTCAAGCATGGTTTTAGCTATACCTTTAAATGTACCAAGCACTATGAACAATGGTATAACAAAAAATTGGAAATATTTTTGTTTAGGTTCCAGCATGCCATGGGGGGAGTACCTGCATGGGCAGAGACCAGTAAGCGGAAAACATCTTCAGATGGTGAGTGTTGATATCTCAATTTAACTTAGTGAGCCTCATTTCTATAATGTTATTCCTTCAGTTTCTTAAGAGGCTTGTTAAAACCTACTGTTCCAAATGTGTCTTTAAAGTTTTAAATTGTTTTCTTAAAATTAGTTCATTTCTTTGAGTAAGAGACAGAGAATGAGATAGAAGGGCACTTGCAACAGGGTCTTTATTTTTATTTTTTGAGAGATTTTTGCTGTAGAGTGCGTGTGCTTGCCACAAAGACAAAGAGAGACAGAAAGTGAGAAGTCACCCCTTCTCCTCCATTCTCCTCTTGGGATATTGGGCACACGTGCATGCACACATGCCTGGCATGAGTTTAAGCCACCGGGTCTAGGACTCGAATCACAGTTGACTACATGGGCGTCCATTAATGGCATCGGCTGGTCCCTGCAGCTGGGTCTTTAACCTGGAACCTCTCCCAGTGTCAGCCAGCTTGGCAGCACAGGGATGACCTGGGACACAGACTGGACCTTCCCATGTGTGTCCAGCACTGCATCACCACTGTGCCGCTGGCTGGTGCCCCTCCTGTATTTAAGACAGGGCCTTATGTGTGGTGATCTTCCTGCCTCAGTCTTCCTTCTGGGAGTATAGACAGGCGTCACCACACCCTGGACTTTTTTTTTTTTTTTTTTTTTTAATTTCTTTCTTTGGCGAGCGAGTGAGACAGAGAGGGACTGTACCCCCAACAGAGTCTTGATGCCGCAGTCCACTCACAGCTTCAGCCAGCCCTGGATCATGGGCATGTGCATGCCCTGTCGGTACTCAGGGAGGTCTCTGGACATGTTTCTGGAACCTCCGTACATGGGTCGTGCATGTGTGTACTGCTGTGCCACTGTTGGGTTTCACACACTCCCCTCATACACAGTTTTTAGTTAGGGTCTGGCTGTGTTGCCTAGACCAGACTTGAGCTTGTTACCTGCCTCAGCCTCCCGGTTGGCCAAGTCACTGGGGTTATAGGCTTGTGCTGCTGTGCCCTGCCTTTGGGTCAGACAGGAAATGAAAGACCCATATCCAGGCATCCCATGAGGTCCTAGCCTGAGAACAGTATCTTAGCAGCTGTTTTACTGTGGCCGAGGAGACCCTTTTTTAAAAATAACATAAGACTTAATAGCAGGTTTCCTACTGTAAGGAAAAATAGAGGAGAATGAAATTTGTGTTTATTTTTAAACAGAACTATGTTACGTTATGGAATGAGATTAAGAAAAAATAAATAACATTCTTAATTTGGAGCTTCTCTGACTACCTTGGCAGCTGATTTAATTGCCCACTTGGACGTGGGACGTCTTTCTAAGGCATGTATGTGAGGTCATGCCCAAATGATTGGACACTGTATTAAAATCCATTTTTGAACTTCCCACTCTTTAAGTTTGACTGGTGGTATAACTCTTCTTCACTTTAGGCCCTTTGAGTTCAGATATTACAATAACAGATGTCTTAGCCAAGGTCTTATTTGTGTACTGGGAGTTAAAAATTTTAGACTCGGAATTAGCCTTTGAAATACTTTACAGAGGCTGGACTGTATTCGTCCATGTCTTACATTCCTGATGAGCGTGCTTGATTTCTACCACCGCCTTTTTCTCCTTTGCCCTGCCCTGCCAGTCTCAGGGTATGTAAGTCCAGGGAGCCCATTCGAGGAGTCAGTGTTGTATATAATTCTGGTAGAAAACTCAACTTGTAATAAAGTAGAAATTGAACTTATTTCTAGCTAGATGCTTTTAGAGGTTGAAAGAATCTTAGCAGTATAGCCTGAACTTTATCTATTGTAGGAAATTTTCTGTCAGGAGAGTCATTATGCATTTTTACTTAGAATAACATAGAAAAATATGTCATGACTTTCCAGACAACCTAATACAACATCATCTTCTCCTCAAAACATTACATGGTGGTATTCTCTTCACTAGGCCATTTCTTGCCCATCTCTCCTTTAGGAGCTAATTGATGGGAATGATTTTCCTGTTTTGTAATTTACCTCATGACTATTCTCTTTTCCTACCTTTCAAACACGCATAGATTGTTTTACCTCTTTTTTCATATAAAACTGTTCTGTTACTGGGGAGAACTCTATCCAGGTTTGTTTTTAACTTGTTAAATATGCCTTGTTCTTTTTAACCCAAGAAGCTTAGAGGGCCTTTTTTTTTTTTTTTTTTTTTTAAGATTTTTGTCATAGGGTTCATGCGGCTGCCATAGAGAGAGAAAGAGGGGAGAGGAAAAGTGAGAAATCGCCCCTCCTACGTGGGATGGCCATGCCATGATCTGCCCCCACCTCCACTTCCTGGGATTTGGGGCACATGCACACACACGCCCGGCGTGATCCTCGAGCCACCAGGTCTGGACTCAAACTGTGGCTGACCATGTGGGAGTCCAGTGCCTTAACAACACTCCACTTGCTGACCCTTGGGGGCTTTTTACTGCTATTGGGTCATCAGAAAAGTCATGATGCATTTTTTTTTTTTTTAGATTTTTGCTATAGGGCATGCGTGCTTGCTGGAGAGAGAGAGAGGGAGAAAGAGAGAGAGATGAGAGATGAGAAATCACTCCCTGGGGGTATGGCCACGCCACAATCTCTTCTCCTTCATCTCCTCTTAGGATTTTGGGGACTCATGCACACACATCTGGTGTGAGTTTTAAGCCACTGGATCCAGGACTTGAACCACATTCAACCACGTGGGAGTCCAGCAACATAGCCATTATGCCATCTGCTGGTCCCATTATGCCATCTGCTGGTCCCAGTCATGATGCGTTTTTGCGTAGAAAAATGCGTCATGACTTTGCCGACGCCCCAGGAGTTTTTGCCTTAGCCCTAGCCCATTGAGCGCTTTTAAAAAGTCTGCTCAGCTACTGAATTACCACTACAATTTTCAGCCACTTCTATGGGAAGAGCAGCCCTGTTTGCTCTCTTTGAAGTTCTGATACACAGTAAGCAGACATTGATCTTTTAGTCAACTGAAAGTTTAGTTCTTTCTCATGTGAGTTGTTAGGCTAGATCTGCTGTCTACTACTCTATTACCAATTTTGTCTTAATTATGAGTTGTTCTTTTTAAATGAAGTGTTGGCTTTATTTAAACTTTTATTTCACTTCACCTTGCTTGAATCACCATCTGTGTTAGTCTTTCATATCAGCGTCAAGCTGATTTTGACTGTATATGCTAAGCTCTGTGCCATCTTTTTCCTCTCCTTTGAGTGTATTTTAAACTGCTTTTATCAGTTGCTGCTTTAAAAAAAGTGTAGGTTGGCAGGCTTAGAGGGGAGTTTAAGTTGGAAATATTGAAGTCTGGAGTAAGTAAAAGGCTCATTGATTCTCAAGATCAGCTTTTTGGGTTTGTTTGACTTAGATGAGAGTGAAGAGGATGAAGATGATTTGTTGCAAAGGACTGGGAATTTCATATCCACATCAACTTCTCTTCCAAGAGGAATCTTGAAGGTGAGAGTCAATGACACTGGAGTCTATCCAACCGTTCACCTCTTAAGTCCAGACTGCTTTTCATTTATGGATGTATGGATTCCCATTATTTGTGGGATTAAGAGGTTTGCTGCCATTTTGCCTTGGTAAATATTTATTTATTTTTCTTCCTTTTGTAGGAATGATCAAGTGGTATTAAATTATGTCCCCAGCAGTTAGGATTCCTATTTGATTTCCCCTTTTGCATTTCTCTTCATTCCCACTGGTACCAGCCTAGCCCACACTGCTGGCATTTCTCAGCTGGCACATACTGCTTTAGCTTCACAGCTTCTCTCTCTACTTCTCCTTTATTTCTTCCTAAGCCATTCTTAATATAGTTGTAGCCAGAGGGACCTTTTAGGAAGAAAGCATCAGGTCATGTAACTTTCCCTTACTTTTTGAACATTTTTTAATTCTTTATTGTAGTCTAGATTGCTCTTCATAGTCTGGCTTTTGCCTTCATTCTCAGACTCATCTCAGACCTCTTTCCCCTTATTCCCTGCTTGAAACATGCAGGCCCTTTTCTGTTGAACAGGTTGGGCGCTTTTTGGCTTCTGAACCTTTGCTCTTGTTCTGTCTGTGTACCTTTGAGTACTGATAATGATAGTTCATTCTTACTTTTCTGTTCAGATGGTACCTTAAGAATTACTAAGAGGGACCAGCAGTTGGCCTAATGGCTGTCGTTGGACTCCCATGTAGTCGACTGTGGTTTGAGTCCCGGACCCGGTGGCTTAAACTCACGCCAGGTGCTTGTGCGTGAGTGTCCAAGATCCTGAGAGGAGAATGGAGGAGAAGGGATTGCAGCATGGCCATTCCCCCTGGGGGGTGATTTCTTGCTTTCTATCTCTCTGTCTTTCTGGCGAGTAGCAAAAAACCTCTCAAAAGAAAGAAAAAATTACTAAGAGACAGAGTAATTCCATCTCCTCTGACTTTATAAAGACAGTTCATCCATCTCTTTGTAGGTTGAATTCACCTCCACTGAAAATGTAGTTACCATAAAAATTTAATTTAGTTGATTAGAGACTAAAACATACATATAATACTTTTGTTTTTAATTGGAAAAATTTAACGTTTATTTATTTCATAAGAGTGAGACAGACAAGCACCACCCTCTCAGTAAGATCTCATGTGGGCCAGCAGGTGGCGTGGTGGTTAAGGCACTGGATTCCCACATGGCTAACACTGGCTTGAGGCCTGGATCCAAAGTCTTGAAAAATCATCCCAGGTACACATGTGTGCATGTCTGCCAAAAATCCCGGGAGGAAAATGGAGAAGGGATTGCTGTGTGATCTTACCCCTGGGGGGTGATTTCTCACCTTCCCTCTCTGTCTCTCTCTAGTGACTGCATGTTCTCTATGGGTGAAACTTTAAAAAAGAAAGATCTTATCCCCTAACCGTCCCAGTCAGTCAGGATCACGGGTGATGTCCCAGTGTATACACTGGGAACCGAACTCATGATCTCTCACGTGGGTCCAGCATCACTTGTAACAGCATATTACTGCTACATCACTGAGCTGGTCTATGGTTTTCACTCAATTTTTTAATTCCCAGAGGCACACACACTTGCCAGAGAAAGAGAGATGGAGAAAGCATCTCCACAATGGGGTATAGTCATGCCACAATTGCTTCTCCTTTTCTTCATCCTGTCAGGATTTACGACATGTTCCATGCACATGCACCTGGCATGTTTTTTGGCCACCACGGCTGGGATTCAAATTGTAGTCTGCTCTGTGAGTTCTAGTTCCCTTAGCTATTCGGCTATAGGATTCACCCTAACTGATTTTTTTTTTTATAAAGAATTACTTATTTGTTTTTATTTATCTATATTATGTTTTAATTTTCTACAAGGCACTTGCACTCACCAGAGATGGGTGGGAGGATGAGAAAGCAAGCCACCAGGTCCAGGATTGAAACCAAGGTTGGCCATGTGGGAATCCGATGTCTTTTTTTTTTTCTTGGACAAACTATAGGGCGCATGCGCTCACCAGACAGACAGAGACAGAGAGACAGAAAGCGAGAAATCCCCCCCCAAGGGGATGGCCACACCACAATCCCTTCTCTTCCATTATCCTCTCGGGATCTTGGGCACGCATACACACGCGCTCAGCGTGAGTTTAAGCCGCCGGGTCCAGGACTCAAACTGTAGTCGACTACATGGGAGTCCAGCGACATAGCCATTACACTAAGTGCTGGTCCCGGAATCCAATGTCTTAACCACCATGACACCTGTCTGCTGGCCCCCTGAATTTTAATATATAGGAAAACTTAGGGAAACAAAAGAAGTAACTGAAAACAGTTCAAGTGGTGTATAAAATCATTAGATTTGTTTTTAGATTTTTCTTCCATGAATGATAGAGAAGAGAGAGAGAGAGAGAGAGAGAGCAAGCAAGCCAGCCAGACAAGACAACATCTCCCAAAATGGACATGCTCATGCCTGTCATATTCATAGAGATCTCTGAAACTTTGCCATTTCATTCAGTCTCGTAGAATGTTGCGTTACTGCTGTGTCACTCTGATCCTGAGATTATTGCTTTAAACCAGCACGCGTGTATCCTCAGAGGAGAATGTGAACAATCTGTGCCGATCACAGATTGGAGGGATAACAGCATAGTGATGGTTGTTTTTGTCTCATGGATGCAGAGATGCCAGTGTGAGACTTATAAGTAAAATTATTCTGGAAGTGAGATGCTGGCAGGTGGTGTGGTAGTAAAGGCATTGGAATCCCACATGGTAGACCGTGGTTCAAGTCCTAGGCCTGGCCGGGCATATGTGGGCCTATGCCCGAAATCCCAGAGAATGGAGAAGGGATTGTGGCTTGGTCATTCCCCCTGGTGGGTGGGGTGATTTCTTACTTTCCCCCTCACTGTCTGTCTCTCTCCTTTGGTGAGTATACAAGCACCCTATAGCAAAAACCTTAAAAAAAAAATTATCCTAAAGTCTAATAACCTTTACCATAGGGTGTATCTTGGGGAAATGACTATAAACTACTGCTCTAAGAACGCTTAATAAATTTAGACTTCTAGACATCAAAAAGATGTAATGATTTAATCCCTTCATTTGAAAGATGGTAAAAATGGGTTCTTAAGGAATGACTTGCTATCTGTGTCAAAATTGTGGTCTCTTTTTTTTTTTAATTTTAAAGTTTTTTCCATGAGTGTATGAGAGAGAGAGATGGAGAGATACAACACCTCTGACAGGCCTTGATACCATGATCCACCCCCCATGTCAGCCAGCCTGGGTCATGGACACACGGATGCCCCACACATTCGGGGGATAACCTTCTCTTGTGCGTCCGCCTCGTAGACCATTGCGTTTTACCACTGTGCCACTGTCTATCTCTGTTGTCTATGGGCTTTTGCTTAACATTCTGGCATACTGTCTTCTATATTATAAAGTAATGATTTTTCTTTATCCCTAAAGAAGATACTAATGCATTTGAATTTGTAAAACTCCAGCTTTATTTTTCCGTAGATGAAGAACTGCCAGGATGCTAATGCTGAACGTCCCACTACCGCTCAGATCTCCTCTGTGCAGTTCCACCCTCGTGCGCAGGTTGTGATGGTCGCAGGACTAGACCACGCTGTGTCACTCTTTCAGGTACACCTCTTAAAATGGGAGACTTGTAATAAAAAGTGCTCATTATCAGGATGTAGGGTTTAGAGGAAAAAACCCAAAGGGATGTTTGTATTTTCTTATAGGTTGATGGAAAAACAAATCCTAAAATCCAGAGCATTTATTTGGAAAAGTTTCCCATCTTTAAGGCTCATTTCAGTGCTAATGGAGAAGAGCTTTTAGCCACAAGTACCCACAGCAAGATTCTTTACGTCTATGATATGCTGGCTGGAAAGTTAATTCCTGTGCATCAAGTGAGAGGTAAGGTTTCTATGGAACATGCAGCCTGCTGTCCCCCGTAAGCCGAGTTCATGTAACATTATTTATAACTGCTCCCTCCCACCAATAGAATTCTGAAAATGAGTTTTTTTAGTAAGTTTTTGGGAAATGTCATGTTGTTGAGCTAATATTTGAATAAAACCAGTGACATGACTTTTCTATTGAGTACTTACAGGGAAATGGTACTTTGGAAATGGATAACCCTCTAGACCAGAAAAGCAGTAGCAAGTACGTAGCTGTCAAGTTAGCAGTTGATGCAGTGGTGAGAGCGTGAGCCAGGGAGCCAGAGGCCTGGGTTCTACCCCTCCGGAGATCGTTTCCACTCTCTCGTACTTTTCAGGAAGTTTGGACACACTCTGCTAGTTCTGGTGTTTGGTATAATACAGTTTTGATTTATACTTAAAGGAAGTAGAGCACTGATTTTGGAGACCCCTATGTAACGTACTTTAAAGAATTAACTACTTAAGGGAACCAGCAGTTAGTGTAATGGCTATGTCGCTGGACTCCCACGTAGTCGACCACGATGCGCGTCCTGGACCCGGTGGTTTAAAACCCACGCCGGGTGCATGTGCGTGCGTGCCCAGGATCCTGAGGGGATAATGGAGGAGAAGGGATTGCGGCATGGCCATCCTCCGTGGAGGGTGATTTCTCGGTTTCTGTCGCTGTCTGGCGAATGCACGCGCCCTATAGTAAAAAATAAATAAATAAATAAAACTCTCAAAAAAAAAAAAGAATTAACTACTTAAAAGAAGCTTCTTTTTACCTACTCTCTACCCTTACCATAATTCCCCTGTATTCTCCTGTCCTTGCTATCACAAAATACAGTGGCACTTTCATGAAACCTTAGGAACTAAAGACCTTGTAATGAGTTTGGCTGGTTTAAGGTTATTAATCTCAGGAGGAAGTGTTGGCACATGCCACAGCTCACTGCCATTTCTCTGTTAAACTGGTCCTGTGTGCAGCTGTAAAGGACAGTAGCAGCTTTGTACAGCTCCTCTTCTGTTAGTGATTGAAAGTCAGGCCAGTTTTAGAAACAGTAATAATGCTGGGACCAGCAGTTGGTGTAATGGCTGGGTCGCTGGACTCCCATGTAGTCAGCTGTGGTTCGTGTCCTGGACCCAGTGGTTTAAAACTCAGGCCAGGCGCGTGTGTGTGCACACATGCCCAAGATCCTGAGAGGAGAATGGAGGAGAAGGGATTGCAGCGTGGCCATCCTCTCGGGGGGGTGATTTCTCGCTTTCTGTCTCTGTCTGTCTGGTGAGCACATGTGCCCCATAGCAAAAATCTCTCCAAAAAAAACAAAAAAACAAAAACAAAAACAAACCAGTAATAATGTTTACCCACAGTTTCTACCTGTTTATTCTTCTGTTTCCCGATAGCTTTATTATTAGTTTTAATTTTCCAGAGGGTGCATGTACTAGCTGGAGAGAGAAAGTGAGAAAGCACTCTAATGGGATAGTCACCCTGTTATCCCATCTCCTGTATTTCTCCCTCTGGAGATTTTGAGCACATGTGTGCACACACCTGACGTATTCCTCAAGCTGCTGGGCCTGGGACTCAAATAGTGTGATTAGCCATGTGGGATCCTACTGCCTTAACCACTGGGCTAGGGAGTAACCCCTGATAACTTTAATAATCCTTATCAAGTAGATTTTTAGCTTATATAATCATGGTTTCAGCCAGGGCTTCTCAGAAGTTAATGCGCACACAAATCTCCTGGGATCCTGTGAAGATCTGCTGAATCTCTGGTTCTGGAGGTCTGAGGCAGGCCTGACTCTGTTTTTCTAACTAGCTCTCAGGTGCTGCCGACATTGCTCGTTCATGGACCTTGCTTTCAGGGAAAAAACCTTAAACCATTTCCTCATTAAAATGGGAGATAATAGTATTAATTATTACAGTGTCGTTTACTTATTATTATTTCATTAATCAAAAGCCTTGGACCTTGGTCACGCCTTGCTTTGCATCCTCTTGAGAACAGCACACCAGAGGTTGGCCAAGATAAGTTGGTGACCTTTACTCTGGATCTCTAGGTACTCAGACATGTGTATCTAGTCATGAGCTACTTTTAATACATGGCATTTGTCTTGCCCTCCCAATCTCTTTCTTTCTGCTTTTCTTAACAAGTATAGCTTGGAAATTATGATAAAAATAGTAATGATAAATTAAATAGGTTTCTTGTGTGGTAGTATGTTATTTATTGAGTGTTATTTTCAGTCTCATTCTAAAACTAAGTAACTAGAAAATTTTTTTTCAGCTTTTGCTATAGGGTGCAGGGTGCATGTGTTTGCTAGAGAGAGAAAAAAACAGAGGGAGGGAAAGTGAGAAATCACCCCCAAGGGTGATGGCCATGCCACAATCACTTCTCTTCAATTATCATGCCCAGCATGAGTTTCAGCTACCAGGTCCAGGACTCGAACTCTGGTTGGCCATGTGGGAGTCCAGTACGTTAACCACTATGCCACCAGCTGGCCCCAAGGTTATCTTTATTGATGATTAAGAGCACTTGCACATGCAAGAGGGTATTTAATGGTGTTCAGCACCTAGTTTATGCAGTTGACCCTGAACAGCTTGGGTTTAAATGGCACGGGTCCACTTATACATGAATTTTTTCCAATACATAGTGTAATGTATTTTCTCTTCTGTATTAGTTTCTAAAGAACATTCTCTCCCTAGGTTGTTTATTGTAAGACTATAGTATATGATACATATATAACATTCAAAATACATGTTAATAGTTTGTTATTTGTAAGGCTTCTGGTAAACAGTAGGCTATTGTTAGTTTAGTTTGAGGAAGTCAAAAGTTAGGATATTGAATGCATAGAGGTGTCAGCATCCTTGGCCCACAAGTTCACATGTCAACTGTATTTGTTGTTATGGGTTTTATTTATTTATTTATTTTTTTGGAGAGGCACCCCTGAGGGAATAGCCATACCGCAATCCCTTCTCCTCCATTCTCCTCTCGGGATCTTGGGCACACACGCACACATGCCTGGTGTGAGTTTAAGCCACTGGGTCCAGGACTCAATCGCGGTTGACTACATGGGAATTCAGCAACATAGCCATTACGCCACCTGCTGGTCCCTGTTGTTATGATTTTGACTGTTTATAATGGTAGTGTGTTTCTCTTGTAATGAACTTTGTGACAAAGAAGTATAATATATTCCTTTATTGGATTGCTGGAAAAGTCATGATGTATTTTTGCATAGAAAAACAGAGAGAAAATACATCATGACTTTTCTGACAACCCAGTAGTTAAATTAGAAATATTACTGCTTACATTTAGAAAATTTGTTGATGTGTTTACAATTTAGAGACCTGAATCTCTAACTTACAGTTGGAATGGTGAATGCAAACCAAATTGAAGTTTTCCAGGTACTTGATAGTGACCTGATGTTTGGGTCAGAGTTAGTGATGCATGGAATCAGATTTATTCAGAGTCTGAGCTAGCTTTTATTTGATTTGAGGCCCTAATACATTTTAAAAGATAAGAAACTTAATTTTGTCAGTAGGAGATAGTTTTACTGCCAATTATATTAAACCTTAATTTAACGGATTCATCTTCTTTCATAGGTTTGAAAGAGAAGATAGTGAGGAGCTTCGAAGTCTCCCCAGATGGGTCTTTCTTGCTTATAAATGGCATTGCTGGATATGTGCATTTACTGTCAATGAAGGTAAAACATTTTTGGTTGTGACTTGTTCTTTTTATTTTCCCCATGATCATTTTGTATTTATCAAAAGTCATGAAATATTTGGAGTTAAGTGCTTATTATTCTGCCATAGGGAAGTTCTGTACCATGATCAGTAATACTTAATATGTATAAAACCGAAACACGAACATATTTCCTGGCAATACAAACAAAAAACCATATCCTAGCGACTTAAAGGCAGCAATCCAAAAATTTCCAGAGAAGCAGGACTAGTCATAGCAAATATTTCACCTTTGTCACATAACAGATTGAGAAGCAGTAAAAATGATAAGACAAGGATATGGATCCAGACTATTAAAAAAAAAGAATACTTAGGCTTTTAAGGTATTTCACATTTATTTTTCAGAAATACACCATTTTAACTCTCGCCTAATATCTTCTTTTTTTATGTATTATTCTATTTGTTAATTATTAATTTGACTAGAGAGAGACAGAGAAAAAAATCTATTTCGTTAGTAGATCTCTGTCCCCTTATTCTCATCATCAAGAACAGTACATCGTCTAATGCTCTGCACAAAGCAAGCACTTAGTAATTGCTGCAAACAAGCTTATCAGGGTTTACTGGGTTCTAAGTTAATGCAGTTTCCTGAACCAAAAAATACTAGAATTTTCCAGTTTTATTTTAGAAACAAGAATGTGGAAAAGATTGTCCCATAATATGACTTTGAAGTTTTAAATAATAATAATGAAATAATTTCAGGTCTGAAAAGTCTAGCAATGTATTTCATAGACGATTCTCTTAGATGGGCCTATGTAACTATTAGGTTATCTGGAAAGTCACGATTTGTTTTTCTATGTCTTTATATGTAAAAACAAGTTGTGACTTTCCAGACAACCCAATAAATTATTTTCATTAATTTTAAAACACAGAGAAATTATATACTAGGTATGTAATTAAGAAAATCCGATTTCTTTTAAATTCCATGTTTACATGCTGGCATTTGATACCACTTCATATATAACATTTGTGCAGTGCAAGTATGATATTACACTGTTACTCACAATAGAGAATAGTATGTAATATAAAAATATTTAATAACCAGTACATTAACTCATACTCAAAACTTTCAAGTACATATTTTCTTATAATATCTAAATAAGGATATACAAATGCTCATCAAGTGACACAAGCCATAGCCACAGTTATTTAAATCAAATGATTTATAAAGCATTTAAAAATGCTATAATTGTTCATTTATCTGCCTGTCCTTAGCTATATGATACAGTGATTTGAACAAACACTGGACACAGGGCATCAGAACTTTTCTAATGACTTCTTTATTAAAATGATAATTGATAAGTGACATGACAGCTCATTGAGCAGAGTTCCTTTTCACATTAACAGTATTGTTCAGTAAATCCTCTCCTGGATTATGCCAAACAATAATCAAAATTTATCTAGCCCTTATAATACCTTTTGATAGTTTCATAGTTCATATTTTTATTATTGACTAGTTCACAAAAAGTTTACTGAAATAATACTTTTCTTTACTCATGATAAGAGCATGTGCACGCACATGTTACAGTGAGAGATGGTGAGCGAGTGAATAAGACTAAGAGACGAGCACCCGCTATAGGATCCAGAGCTGCCACTTGTCCTTAGTGTAGGG